GTGCAGGCCAGAAGGGAGTGGCAAGAAATATTCAAAGTGATTAATGCCAAGAACCTACAACCAAGATTACTTTATCCAACAAAGCTATCATTCAGAATTGCAGGTCAGATAAAGAGCTTCACGGATAAGGAGAAGCTAAAGGAGTTCATCACCACCAAACCAGTACTATATGAAATGCTGAAAGGTATCCTTTAAGAAGAGGAAGAAGACGAAGAAAAAAGTAAAGATACAAATTATGAACAACAAATACACATCTACCAACAAGTGAATCTAAAAATCAAGTGAATAAATAATCTGATGAACAGAATACACTGGTGAATATAATAGAATCAGGGGCATAGAAAGGGAGTGGACTGGCAATTCTCGGGGTGGGGGTTAGGGGGAGAGACTGGACAAAAATTGTACACCTATGGATGAGGACAGTGAGGGCAGGTAAGGGCAGAGGGTGGGGTGGGAAATAGGTGGAGGGAAGTTATGGGAGGGAAAAAGAGGAACAACTGTAATAATCTGAACAATGAAGATTTATTTTTAAAAAAAGAATAAAAAAGAATAACTGAGGCAGATTAGAGTTTGTCTTACAATACAAAAAATAAAATAAAATAAATAAAATAAAATGGTTTGAAAAATTAAATCCATCCTCAAAAGATAAAAATTTGCCACCATAGAAAAAGTGGAAACAAACAAAAATATGCTATAGTTGCTCAGAGCATTCTATGAGACCTCCCAAAGTGCTATAAGTAACAATAGCCTTGACAGGATACATGCTTGGTCTCATATAACACTATTTTGTAAATTGATAAGGCTTAGTATGTTTTTTAAATTAAAACACTGTTATTGCACTTTACAGCTTGCCTTTAAACATGTACATGTACATTTAGAATATATTCCATAAGAGAATATTTCAAAAAACAAATCCACATATCAAACATAAGAAAGCCTCAAATGTAACTGCTTGGCACTAGAATTAAAATGCATTTCTATTCTGCCACAACTACATGAGCCCAGAAGACTAAGCTCTAGATCAGTATGGCTGTCACCTTGATATTAGCCTGTGAGACTGAGGTGAGAACCCAGTCACACTATGTCTGGACTTGGACATACAGAAACAGTGAGTAAATAAATGGGTATCGCTTTAAGCTGCTAAAAAAAATGTATATCTATACTAGCTTTCTATAATTTCCGGGGGGAGGGGGGATGTGTCATTGTTATATTTTCCTTCCATTGTTAATTTTTCTTAATGTAGGTTATTCTTTTCTAAAATTGGGCACAGATATGAATAAAAACATAAACAAGTTCTGGCAGATTCAGTACAACTCAAGAATTTTCCATTATTACCCCAGAGGTGGAGACACTGAGACTGCATAATGTTACAACCATCTAAGGTTTCCTATTTGTATCTTGTTTTCTATGGAGTTAATCTATTATTAAAGTGATGCCAAATTTGTCTATAGATCAGGTACTTGGGAATGGATCATCATTAAACGCTTGTGAACTATTCTGCCCTTATTATAAAACTTAATCCCAAAGCCAAAATAAACTGAGAAAAGATAATGTGAGACGCATAGTGAGATTCAAATAGATTCATCTTAATTCTTAGCTGTCTGCTATAGGAATAGTTTCGACTTTTTGTCAATACCATAACTGCTCATAGTAACTAAAGCCCATTTCAAAGAAAGTCTTGAAATTGTTTTTAGAATATTATTTATTATAATAGCATTAGAGCTTTTGTAAAAATAGCATCTGAACTATGTACTCCAGTATCATGTCTATTGAGTAATAATCACAAAATGTTTTTGACCAAATAAAACGAACTTTGACTCACAGATGTTTATCTTCCTTAAAAAAAAAACAAAAACATATTATGCTATAATAAAAAAAAATCACCAATTTAGAAAAGACTAACAAAAATAAAAAGTTAACTCATTTTGACGTTATGACTTTATCAGATCCATTAAATTCTAGGAAGCTACTAATTCAAAAGTAATGAGCTGTCATCTAAATTGTTATTTATAACAATCTATAATAATAAAAGCATAATATGCTAATTAGACCAGACGACCTTTCAGACGAAGCCGGGGGCTGCGAGGGAAGCCCGGGTCCTGTGTGCCTGCCGGCAGCCAGAGGGAAGGTCGGGTCCTGGGTGTCAGAGGGAAGCTAGTGCTGGCAGCAGGGGGAAGGAAGGCCTACTCTTGCACAAATTTCGTGCATCAGGCCTCTATTTCCTATTATAAAGTACTATGAGAAATCTGGACTTTCCTAAATTCATAATATACCAAAGCCTTTTATGTATACTTGTAACAAATTATCTGTAACAAAATCACATCAGCAATAAAGTACAACTACATATGTGACTAAAATTGCTCCTGATACAGTTACCAAAGATGAGATTCTAACTATATGGTCAAACGGAACAGCCAATCTTCTCTGAATTTTTGCAGCACTTAACAATGTTGAGAAGTTTCTTCCTTCCTGAACCTCCTCATGCCTTCTCTAATGCCACTCTCTGAAGTTCTCCTCCTATTCTACTCTAGCCATCCCTTTTCAGTCACTTTTGTGGGTACTCCTTCCTCAGTCACTCCCTTTAATGTTTTCTCCTTGAGTCCTATATTAAGTGTTCTCTTACTGTACATACTCTTCCATATACAAGGCTTTAATTACTACTTATGTGCCCAAATCTGTAGCTATAACTCAGAATTCTCCCCTACAAGTCAAATTTATTTGACTGGACATCTTCACTTGGATGTCCCTCTTAAACTCAGTAATGGACAAACCTGAGCACATCAATTTTACTGCTAAGCCTGAGCCTCCTGCTAGCCTCCCTTATCTTGGTAAAAAGGAAAATCATCCAAGAAAGATTTTTTTTTTAATTTATAAATATCAGGATTTAACAACAAATTAAAAGCAATCTAGAGTTCCAAAAGCTAGAGTCATAAGTATGTTTTAAAACAGTGATGGCGAACCTTTTGAGCTCAGCGTGTCAGCATTTTGAAAAACCCTAACTTAACTCTGGTGCCATGTCACATACAGAAATTTTTTGATATATCCAACCACAGTAAAACAAAGACTTATATTTTTTATATTTAAATGCCATTTAACAAAGAAAAATCAACCAAAAAAAATGAGTTCGCGTGTCACCTCTGATACGCGTGTCATAAGTTCGCCATCACTGTATTAGGGGATTGCTGAGATGATCAGTGAGGACATAAAGGAGGCTTTCACTACATGACGTGCAACATAATTTCCTCCTCCTCTCAAAAATATTAGCAAACATATACCCTGTACATCTTGCAGGTTTGATAGGGGGAAGGGTGCTAAACTGGCCTCAGAGAGAAAGAAGCATGGCCCAAGGGCCTTGGTGACAACCTGATTACTCCTGGAAGAAGCACCTCCAACACAGAGGAAAAGTCCTCCACCTCCTGCTGCTATCGTTTCCTTTTTCTGCTGCTTTCAAGGTGGCAGAGTCTTGAGGTCATTTGGAGGATCGAGAAGTGAGATGAGGTTACAAGGAGGGTAACCTCCAGGGAGGAGAGGAAATGATGAGTCATTGGCCATGAAAGATGAAAAGATGGGGATTTCTTTTTTTACTCTTCCTGTGTTGCTCAGAGAAATATAACTGAAGGGTTTTAATAAGTTCTCATTTCAAGGCTATTGATGGCTCATCACACACATATGTGACTCCAGTAATACAAATTAGCTGGCTTTTTAAAATCATAACACAATGGATGGGGAACAAAGAGTACTTGGAAAGCTTAAAAGACGTCAGAATGGCTTGCATATTATTTCAACTAGAGAGAAATGTGTTCAGACATTTTTTATAAAACCTGCTGAAAAGAGTCAGGTTGGCTTTATATCTTTTGGTAAAGAAGCCAGTTCAGATCCAGTTCTGAGAGAAGCTTTGGGGGAAGTGAAGCAGTGACTGGGTCGGGGGAAGGGTGTGTGGGACAGAGCTCAGCAGGGGCAGTCTTCAG